ATGTACCTGTTTCAACTAGTTCCTATATGTGTCTCTGTTTTGCATTTCACTAATATTTAATTTAGGAATTATGTGTCTTGCCAAATAAGAATTTACTGTGCCAATCAAAAGTGACTGATTATTATCTCCACTTGAGTATTAGGGATGACACACCTGTGTTTAGTAGTTTTTCTTCTGCTGATGTGGGAGTAGCAAAGCAGACAGAAAAACAACTAAAAACAAAGTGTGTCATTGGTGCTGTTAGGTGTTGCATGAAATTGTCCCTACTGTGATACGGTTTGTTTTTTAGTTGTGTTTTTCTGTTTTGCTGCTCCTTCATCTGTTTTTCCTTGAAGTTCTATATTAAGTTTTACATTGGACATGACCAAATAAATGACTGATTGTCTGCATATGATGTTTGTTTTTTTTTCAATGTATCCTGAAGACACAAGATTTGACAACAACAAGTGTATATAATTTAGTGTTTATTCAGCAACTCACAACTTATCCAACTATATCACATATTTCTTCCCTTTTTTGGGAGCCAACTTCTTTGCTTTGTTGATCATTGAAGGCAAATGCTTGCTGTTCTACTCTCCTTGCATCTCCAGCCATTTCTTGAATCACCAAGTCATTGCGTAGGTAACAAAAATTGTGCAACACACATGCTGCCAAAATGAAATTGGTATCCTCTGCCACATCTTTAAGACCTAGAGCTAACAGCCGCCGCCACCGACCCTTGAGAAGTCCAAATGTGTGCTCAATGACCACTCTGGTCTGACTATGATGGTAATTGTACTTCTTCTGTCTTCTTGTTAAATTACCATTATCCCTGAGTAAAAATAAATTTATGAAAAAGAAAGCCAAACAACAAACTAATAGTTTCAGCTTTTTCTCAAAGATTAATGCATTGCACCTTACTTGTATGGGGCCATGAGCCAGCATCGATTAGGATAAGCCTTGTCCCCAATAAGATGAAAACGATCTTCATAAATGACACTCTTTGGTCCTTCACTTACTATTTTCCTATGAATACTGGATAGTGCCATTGCTGTGCAATCATGCCTCGAACCAGGTGTTCCAATTGAAACATTAGTGAAAATTTTGGTCGCAGTGCAGATACCTGTGAATATTCATATTGAAACACTTCAATAAAGACAGGCATGGAAGTGAAAGCAGAAATACACAACCTGGTTTCAGCCACACACCTTGCAAAATTATGGAGTGACTCATCTTACGATCATTGTATGCCGCCTGGTCACGAGCAGGTGCTAATACATGTACATGACAACCGTCAATAGCTCCAATCACACCTGAAAACATTTTAACATAGTCAGTACAAGTACTATATATATATACATTATTACTGAAATCTAAGTGACCATTGCTTTTTAACGAGTGCAAGTACTAACCAGGAAAACCTGCCCTCTCACGGAATTGGTTTTCTATGATGGTACATTCGTTTTGTGTCGGCCAAACGATATATCTGGTCTTGAGATCACACAGAATTTTCACCACCAGATACACTTCCTTGTGGACAGTTGATACAGCAACACCAAACCTGTCACCAACTTCATCCATGGATATCTGTAGACCGAGGTATGTTAGAGTCATCAGGATGGCTTTATTACAATCCACTAAAGGGGCACTTCCACGCAACAATTTTTGTGGGTAAAGTGGGCGCACAACATCCGCCAATGCCCAAAATGAATCCTTCTTCATCCTAGATAACAAAAGTTACAAAAGGGTCAGAGTAAACAACCAAACACAACAGCTTCAAAGATTTATAAATTTAGGTAAAACGTTAGGGTGAAAGTTAATATAGTTCTGCTGATTTACCTAAATCTGTCGTGGAAATCTGCATCGAGATACCGCGGAATCCAATCATTTATATCACCAGACAAATGCCCTAACCTGAAATGTTCCTCTCTCTTTTTCTTCAAAACAAGCCCATATGAAGAAGACGAGGCTGAAACTGTAGCTAACAATAAATCGTCGTCATCATCACCTCCGAAGAATACATCTTCAACTACAGCCATTACCATCCTCAATCTTTCCGGATTCATTTTCTAAACTTGTTTACCTTTTCAATCACAACAATTTGTTTGAACAGGCTCGCTCTCCGCGCCTCCGCCCAGCCTCCGCCCTCTCTAACCTAGCTCTAACTGTTACCGTCGTCATTTTCTTTTCGGGTTGTGGTTTGCAGTGGGTTGTGACGTCAGCCGCTAGCGCTAGCGCTACCGGGGTAGAGAAACGAAAATACGCCTGTGCTCCCGGGTTCCTCCTCTGAAGCAACAGAGAGTGACTCTGACTAGTCTAGCTTGTTGTTTTCCTTTTAGTTTATTCCTAGATGTAGCTATTGTTACTAGTTTATTCCTAGATGTAGCTGTTGTTATTAGTAAATGGAAAACCTACAGCTGACATGCCTGTATTTAGTGGTTTTTCTTCTGCTGATGTGGGAGTAGCAAAGCAGA